CTCCAGCTCTTGGGCTTAGGTGATTCTCTTGCCTCAGCCTCCCAAGTAGCTGGGACTACAGGCGCCCACCACAACACCTGGCTATTTTTTTGTTGTTGCAGTTTGGCCGAGGCCAGGTTGAACCCACCACCCTCGGTATATGGGGCCAGCACCCTATTTACTGAGCCACAGGCACCACCCTGGGGAATCTCTTGAGATCAGGAGTTTGAGACTACTCTGTGCAAAAGCAAGACTCCATCTCTACTAAAAATAGAAAAATTAGGCCAGTTGCAGTGGTTTACACCTATAATCCTAGTACTTTGGGAGACTGAGGTGGACGAATTGCCTTAGCTCAACGAGTTCTAGACCAGCCTGAGCTAGAGCAAGACCCCCATCTCTAAAAATAATCCAGTGTTGTGGCGGGCACCTGTAGTCCCACCTACTTGGGAGGTTGAGGCAAGAGAATTACTTGAGCCCAAGAGTTTGAGGTTGCTGTGAGCTGTGACACCAGTGCAATCTACCAGGGGTGACAAAGTGAGACTCTGTCTCAAAAAAAACAAATAAATAAAAATAGGCTTAGTGCCTGTAGCACAGTGGTTACAGCACCAGCCACATACACTGAGACTGGCAGGTTCTAACCCGGCCCAGGCCAGCTAAACAAAGACAACTATAACAAAAAATAGCCGGACATTGTTGTGGGCACCTTTAGTCCCAACTACTTGGGAGGCTGACGCAAGAGAATTGCTTAAGCCCAGGAGTTTCAGGTTACTGTGAGCTATGATGCTACAACACTCTACAGAGAGCAACATAGACTCTGTCTCCAAAAAAACAAATAAATAAATAATAAAATAGGGCAGCATCTGTGGCTTAAAGGAGTAGGGCGCTGGCCCCATAATACCAGAGGTAGCAGGTTCTAACCTAGCCCTAGCCAAAAACTGCAAAAGAAAAATAATAATAATGGCTCGGCGCCTGTGGCTCAAGTGGCTAAGGCACCAGCCACGTACACCTAACGTGGTGAGTTCGAATCCAGCCCAGGCGCGCCAAACAACAATGCCGGCTGCAGCCAAAAAATAGCTGGGCATTGTGGCGGGCGCCTATAGTCCCAGCTCCTCAGGAGGCTGAGGCAAGGGAATTGCTCGAGTCCAGGAGTTTAAGGTTGCTGTGAGCTATGACACTAGAGCACTCTACCGAGGTCAACAAAAGAAGACTCTGTCTCAAAAAAAAAAAAGGAAAGAAAATAGCAGCACTTGACCCTGACATGCTGTGTCTAATTTCACTACCTGATAAGGAAGGAAATGTTTTTTTTGTTTTTTTCCAGAGAAATTCAAATCTCTTTTCCAGGATTACCCAGTTAATGACATGGCTGTTACCAGATCTGCCAAATTCTCTTGTTCTAAATGTTGTGAATCCCTGAGAGTTATGACTTAGATGGGCTGGGGAAAATCATTCCTAATATATGAACCTGGGGAGATTTTTTTTTTGGCAGTTTTTGGCCAGGGCCTGGCTTGAACCTACCACCCACAGTGTATGTGGCCGTTGCCCTACTCCTTGAGCCACAGGCACCACCTTTTTTTTTTTGAGACAGAGTTTCACTTTATCACCCTCAGTAGAGTACCGTGGTGTCACAGCTCCTCACAGTAACCTCCAACTCTTGGGCTTAGACGATTCTCTTGCCTCAGCCTCCTGAGTAGCTGGGACTACAGGCGCCCACTACAACGCCTGTCTATTTTTTTGTTTGCATTTTCACCTGGGCCGAGTTTGAACTTGCCACCCTCGGTATATGGGGCTGGTGCCCTACTCACTGAGCTACAGGTGCCACCCAAACCTGGGGAGATTTTCAAAATAAGGAGAACCATGCGGAGTGACTGGTTGTTGCCACTGTGTAGGGCGAAGTTAGAGGTGATGTATAGAGAATAGCTATTGTTTTGCTTCTCCTTCAAAGAAGACAGCCAGGCTTTGATCTCACCCTAGGCACAGCAATTAGGCAACCTCATGGGGAGAAGGGAAGAGTGCCAGTAGCAGGGTAGATCCCAGAAGGCTCTACTTGGTTTTCCCACATAGAGAGGAAGCCAGTGGTACGTGGCATAGCCCCTAGTCTGCAGCCCAGACTCAGCCTTGAACTCCTAGTCTACCACTCACTAGCTGGCTGGCATTAGGCAAGTCAGTCCACAGCTTTCTGCCTGGACTTTGGTTTTCTCATGTGTGAATTAGGGCAACGGGCTAGATCATCTTTGTCCCTTCCAGCTCAAATGTTCTGTGGATCTAGGTGGGAATGACTGTTCACTGCCGCATCATGAAGATTGACATTGAGAAGTTCAGTGCAGACCTGACCTGTCGCACCTCAGACCTCATGGACAGGAACAATGAATGGAAGCTGCCCAAGGACACGTACTATGACTTTGATGCCGAAGCAGCAGACCACAAGCAGGAGGAGGACATGAAGCGGAAGCAGCAGCGGACCAGTGAGTCTGCCCACCTCCCATCCCTGTGTGCCCTGAGTCTTGGTGGCTCTGCCAGTGCAGGATCAGACCACAGGATGCATGTGCATCAGTCAGTCTCCTGATAAGCGGACTCAGCAGTGAGGTGCTGAGGCCTAGAGACACCATAAAAGAGAGCTATGGGTAGGGCTGGAACCCAGGGTCTCTTGGGGTCACATTTTCTTTGCTAATGTGTTGTGCTTTTTTTTTTTTTTTTTGAGACAGAATCTTCCCTTATTCGCCCTGGGTAGAGTGCGAAGGGGTCATCATAGCTCAGAGCAACCTCAAACTCTTGGGCTTAAGAAATTCTCTTGTGGGTGGTGCCAGTGGCTCAGTGAGTAGGGCACCGGTCCCATATACTAAGGGTGGTGGGTTCAAACCCAGCCCCGGCCAAACTGCAACAAGAAAAATAGCCGGGTGTTGTGGCACGCGCCTGTAGTCTAGCTACGTGGGAGGCTGAGGCAAGAGAATCATCTAAGCCCAGTAATTGCAGGTTGCCATGGCACTCTATTGAGGGTGATAAAGTGAGACTCTGTCTCTAAAAAAAAAAAAAAAGATTAACTTGCCCTTCACATCAGTAAATCCAGGTGTAGAGAGGGTGAAATTGTCTTGAAAATCCCATAGGTCAGAAATTAAGTCCTGATTAATCCCATTGCTGCGGCTGCTAGCCCCATCACCTGCTCTGGACCTTTTTTTTGCCCTCGTTAGCATACATCAAGCGAGTGATTGCACACCCATCCTTCCATAATATCAATTTCAAGCAAGCAGAAAAGATGATGGAGACAATGGACCAGGGTGATGTGATCATCCGACCAAGCAGCAAGGGCGAGAACCACCTGACAGTGACCTGGAAAGTCAGTGATGGCATCTACCAGCATGTGGATGTGCGGGAAGAGGGCAAGGAAAATGCCTTTAGCCTGGGAGCCACTCTGTGGATCAATAGTGAGGTGAGAGGCTCGGCGCCTATAGCTCAACCGGCTAAGGCGCCAGCCACGTACACCTAAGGTGGCGGGTTCGAATCCCCAGCCCGGACCCGCCAAACAACAATGACGGCTGCAACCAAAAAATAGCTGGGCGTTGTGGCGGGCGCCTGTGGTCCCAGCTACTTGGGAGGCGGAGGCAGGAGACTCGCTTGAGCCCAGGAGTTGGAGGTTGCTGTGAGCTGTAATGCCATGGCACTCTACCCAGGGGGACAGCTTGAGGCTCTGTCTCAAAAAAAAAAAAAAATAGTGAGGTGAGAGCCAGCGCCTGCCCACCTCCCGTCCCCATTCCTGCTTCCAGAAACAGGCCTTTTCCAGCCACTTTTACCTGACATTAGTAACTGGTATGTGTCATAGGTGTTTTACCTGTGCAAAGGAACGGAATAGATCGTTTGTGGAATAAGTCATTTGATATCAATTTTGTGTTTTCCTTTCCTCCAAATTTTAAAATAGACTACCTAGAGAACACCAGTGGTAGGAGAGAGAGTTCACGTATGTTCACACACATCAAGTTTCTTTTCCCTGTTTTTTGGTAGGAGAGGTCTAGTGAAGTTCCTTATTGTTGTTGTGTCAACATTGGGATTTAAAGGACTTTGTGCCCTGTAAGCTAATGTGTCTGGGCATGACTCAGACAGATGGGTAAATTGAGGGGCCTCTGCAGTAGAATGGGGCTTCAGCAGGAATGGGAAGCCCACCCCCTCCCAGGGCTTCTCTTCAAGTTAGATGTGATGAAAAGCCAGGTGTCTCAGCTCTGGATGGACCTTTCCTTTATTCTTCCAGGAATTTGAAGACTTGGATGAGATAGTTGCCCGCTATGTCCAGCCCATGGCATCCTTTGCCCGGGACCTTCTGAACCACAAGTATTATCAGGACTGCAGTGGTGGAGACCGCAAGGTGAGCCCAGAGCCCTCCAAGGGATGACACCTTCCAGTCACTTAAGGATGTTTCCCTTCAGTGTAGAGGATGTTCAGGTGGTGAAGGAAGTATACATGATGTGTGTGCCAGACCTTGTGTACCAAGCATGCTGCTGTCCCAACCTCTTCCCCTCATTCTACCCCCAGAAATTAGAGGAGCTGCTCATCAAGACTAAGAAGGAGAAGCCCACCTTCATCCCTTATTTCATCTGTGCCTGCAAGGAACTGCCCGGCAAGTTCCTACTGGGATACCAGCCCCGGGGTAAACCCAGGTGAGCACTGATGCTGAGAAGGTGCTGCCGCTGGGGTCCACAGACAGGCTAGAAGGGAAGTAGAGGCCCCAGAGCAGTACTCTCTGGTTCTGTTTGACTGCCTTTCTCCTCTTACTTGTTTAGAACAGAGGTGGAGGTTGGAGGTGGGGAGAGAGGGTAATGATGAGAGGCAAAAGATAAAGATTCAAATACAGGCGTTTTCATCAACATTGTAAAAAAGTTCTTTTCACTTCACCTACCTCCCAGGGAGTGACGGAAATCACCAGACACTCCTCCCACCCAGTTGGCAAAGACTGAGGACCTACACACTGCTCTCCCCTTTCACTCTCGGCTTCCCCTTCACCAGGGCTTTTGGCATATGGTGGCTCAGTGTTGTCATATCATGTTGTTTTCTTCTGCCCACACTGAAGTGGCAGGTCAGGAAAGCATCTTCTCTGCTCTAACTCCTGTGTATGACTGATAGGCTGGCCTTCTGAAGTAGTCCTCTCTGTGAGTCTCACCAGTGGGCACCCTGAACTTAGCAGACAAAGTCCTCCTCAGATCTGCTTTGTTTCTGTTACACAGACTGGTGATCACACCAGCCTGCTCTGCCTAAGCCCTGTCTCTGTGCTATCGTTGGCCCTTGGCATTTCTTTTATCCCTGTTTTGACTATGTGAGTCACAGGTTAGATAGACTAACAGTGAGTCTCAGTGGCCAGATGACTTTGGTCTCTGCACTGTCTTGGGCACATCTGGAATATCATGTTCTTTTCTGAGAAGCCTTTTCTGACTTACCAACTTGACTTCCAGATGATGGTAGCTAGGATACTATCTCTGATGCAGCTGGAAACTGCCCCATGCACCTTTAACTAAGACCACATTCAACATGATAGCTTCTTGTGGAAAGGAGCACAGAATCCTCTGCGTGGCAGAATTAACACCCATAGGAGATCTAGGAAGCAGGTTTCAGTTTAATACAGTGGTTCTCAACCTTCCTAATGCCACGATGTAGTTTCATTGTTACAAAGGGGTCATGACCCACACGTTGAGAACTGCTGGTGTAATAGAAATGAAAACTCTGGTACTCAGCAATGTATGTTGGCTATTGATAGCATCATTTTTTTTTTCTTTTTTTTGTGACAGCCTTAATCTGTTGCCCTGGGTAGAGTGCTGTGGCATCACAGCTTACAGCAACCTCTTGGGCTTAAGCGATTCTCTTGCCTCAGCTGCCCAAGTAGCTGGGACTACAGGTGCCCACCACAACACTCGTCTTTTTTTTTTTTTTGGTTGTAGTTGTCATTGTTTGGCAGGCCCAGGCTGGATTCGAACCCGCCAGCTCTGGTGTATGTGGCTAGCGCCTTAGCCACTTGAGCTACAGGCACCAAGCCTGATAGTCATCCTTTATTGAGCAAAACACCTTGTTTAAGGTGTTGTGAATGCTATGTGTATATTGACTCATTTTATCCTCACACTCACCCTATGGATTTAAGCGCTTTTACCTTTATTTTACAAGTGAATTAGATTCAGGTTTAGTAACTTTGTGCAGAAGTCTCATAGTTGGTGAATGGTGAGCTAAAACTAAAACTAGAACCAGAACAACTCGGAGCCCATCCTCTTAACCACTTGTGTACTCTCAGAAGTGTTAAATTAAAGGCAGTTTAACCACCTTCCAAGGCTGCTGCACAAAGACTCCTGCTTATGTACTTTGCTGCCCCAGGTGGCCCTCCCAACCCTGACATCCTGGGACCTCAATCTCACCCTCACCTGTGGTGTGCCACCTACATACTGCACCCCAGTATGGTGGCACAGCCTCCAGCAAACCTTCCTCTGTATCAGCACACAGGGGGCTACCAAGCCCTTGGCCTTGACTATACTCTGAATATAGCCTCCCTTCACAGGGCCAGGGACTGGCTCTGTCATCTCACCTTTCCCCTGGTACCCAGTGTGGCTACTTCACATGGTGGACATCTATTCTGGTCACTCCCTCACAGCCGGTTCCAAGTGGTGCCTGACACCTTTCATTCTAAAATCCCAGGATAGAATATGTAACAGTGACTCCAGAAGGATTCCGGTACCGGGGCCAAATCTTCCCAACTGTGAACGGACTCTTCAGATGGTTTAAAGATCATTACCAGGATCCTGTACCTGGTGAGTTCTACTTGGGCCTGACTCAAAGTACTCACTGGCCTGTGGGGAGGGTGCAGCACAACCTGTCATTGCAGCTACCCTATTCCTACCCAGACTCCCAGCCTAGAAGGTTCTCCATCCACTGTGCCTGTGCAGTTGCCCTTCCTCCCACCATCTGTCTCAGTGCTTCCTCCAGACCCCTGAATTGTAGCTATTTCCTACAGGCATCACTCCCAGTAGCAGCAGCAGGACCCGGACACCTGCCTCTATCAATGCCACTCCGGCCAACATCAACCTTGCAGGTGAGGAGCTTGGGCCTGGGACTGGGGGTGGGAGGGATAGAGCTAGAAGGACTTTTTTTTACCTCTAACACTTCCATCCCTGCCTCTGTTTTTACAGATCTGACACGGGCTGTGAACGCCCTGCCCCAGAACATGACCTCGCAGATGTTCAGTGCCATTGCTGCCGTGACAGGCCAAGGACAGAACCCTAATGCCACCCCAGCCCAGTGGGCCTCCAGCCAGTATGGCTATGGTGGCAGTGGAGGGGGTAGCAGCGCTTACCACGTATGTGGCTTAGGGAAGAGGCTCCTGGGCAGGGTGGGGTGGGATGAAAGGGAACAGTCATCTTTTGCCAAGCCATGGCCCATAGACTGGCTTCTGGCAGTGTCTACCATGAAGAACTTCATATGCACAGATGGGGCTGCCATGGCCTTAAGACCTGTTTCCAGGGCGGCGCCTGTGGCTCAAAGGAGTAGAGCACTGGCCCCATATGTCGGAGGTGGCGGGTTCAAACCCAGCCCTGGCCAAAAATGATTAAAAAAAAAGACCTGTTTCCAATAGATGTGCCTTTTCTTTGGGCCTATTTGAGTGGGGAGAGAATATGAGAGAGGCTGACCTCTCCAGAATCCTTTGGGATCTTTCGAACTTTTCAAGCCACTAGAAACCAGAGATGGTCAGGACTAGTGGGCCCCCTTTGTGTGCCAATGGCTTCCCTCTGCTGCTCAGACTCACACACTGCTCAGGGGAGGGTCAGCTGGAAAGCTCTATGCTGAGCCCACCCTTGCAGCTTGCCAAAAACTCACAGTATGACCCAATAATCCCAAAGCTCATCCCAACTTAACTGTTCATGCCTCTCCAGGTATTCCCAACACCAGCCCAGCAGCCAGTGGCCACACCACTAATGACCCCCAGCTACTCCTACACAACCCCAAGCCAACCCATCACTACACCACAGTACCACCAGCTACAGGCCAGCACCACCCCACAGTCTGCCCAGGCTCAGCCCCAGCCCTCCTCCAGCTCCCGACAACGGCAGCAGCAGCCAAAGTAAGTATCTGGTGGCTCAGAGTAAGTTATTAGTATCAATAAGCTGAAGGCTTAGCAAAGGCAGGTGCTCTGGATCCTGTGAGGGCCGTGGCCCATGTGATGTCCCCGGGGACTCCTGGTTTCTAAGGAAAGACAAAGAGGGTGGTAGGCAGCCATTACTACCTCTGCCTTACCCTAGCAGATGGGCTGCTGCCCATAGATGTGAGCTTCCTTTCTGCAAGGGTGGGTGCTCACCAGTGATTGATGGGAAGACTTCCTTCCAGCAAGCCCCTAGAGAATCCCAGTTTCAAAGGCCCTTTCTTCCCCTTCCCAGGTCCAACAGCCATGCAGCCATCGACTGGGGCAAGATGGCGGAACAGTGGCTGCAAGAGAAGGAGGCAGAAAGGCGGAAACAGAAGCAGCGGCTGACACCTCGGCCGTCCCCCAGCCCCATGATCGAAAGCACCCCTATGTCCATTGCTGGCGATGCCACCCCACTCCTGGACGAAATGGATCGATAGGGGGCCTGCTCCTCGGACTCTGGTTACCTCTGAGGCTGTGAAAGGCCTGGCCGCCCACAGCTTCCCTCCCTGCCCCTCCTTTTCTGTCCATAAAAGTGGCGTGAAGTGACGTTCTCTTTGGTGGTCAGCCTGGATGGGTGACAGGCTGGATGATGGCCTTGCGAACTTGAGCTCAGTGTACGCTAGGCAACAATTCTCCCACTCCAGATCCTCACCGACCACCTGTCCTGGGACCAGGCTGGGAAGGGAATGTGGCAGGGAGGAGGAAGAGGAAGGTGAAAATGAGAGTTGAACAGTTTTGTATTCTCCCTACAAGCCATTTTGAGCTGCTGCCCTCACTTGACTTGGCTGTGACCAGGGCACCAAGCTCAGCACATGAATCTCCCCTATCTCTTATGGGGAGAGGGATGCTATTTATTCAGTTTGGGGCAGGAGGGAGAAGATGGAAAGTATTCCTAATGCCAACAGCCTGGGTGGCTGTCAAAGCAGGATTGCAGGGACACAGGGGAGCAGTGCTAACCTGCCCAGCCCTGCCTAGCTGCCTTCCCTACCTGCCAACGCCACCGCTTCCTGCCTGTCATTTGAATAAACAGTGTTTCTACAGAGCTCTTGCCAAAGTCTCTCTCTCCCTCAATTCTCCGGCTCTTTGAGGGATGACTTTTTTTTTTTTTTTTTTTTGAGACAGTTTCACTTTGTCACCCTGGGTAGAGTGCTGTGGCATCACAGCTTATGGTGGCATCCTCAAACTCTTTGCTTAAATGATTCTCTTGCCTCAGCCTCCCTAGTAGTAGCTGGGACTATAGGCCCACCACAATACCTGGCTATTTTTAGAGACAAGGTCTCACTCTGGCTCAGGCAATCCACCCGCCTTGGCCTTCCAGAGTGCTAGGATTGCAGGTATGAGCCACCGTGCCCAGCCCTGAGGGATGACTTTCAAAGCAGTGGTTAGAGCTCTGAGGGGCTCCCCTGACTCCCTATTCAGAGCCATCAAAGGGGTGATGATTTGTAGAACAGGCAGCTTCTGCATCAGACTGCCTGGGGCACTTCCCTGCTCTGCTTCATAGCCTTGTGACCCTGTGCCAGCTCCAATTGTTTTTCAGCTAGGTTTCTTATCTGTAACAAGGAGACAGCAATACCTACCTCACCAGCACTGCCAGGACTGAGACAGAGTGTGTATAAGCTCCTTGGCCCAGTGCATGGTACCTTGCAAAGGCTGCCTGCTATTAGTACACTCACACTACACTCACACTCAAGCTGCCTCATCCACGGTGCTTGTAGTCTCTGGCATGCTGAAGAAAAGCCACAAGTAAATCTAGTTTCTCAGCTTGAGCCCATACACCTCTTGTCTCTTCCCTTTCCCCAGCTGGGCCTTGGTCTCTGACATCCTCTAGGTAAGCCATGGCCCAGAGTGGGTCCCACATTCAACCTGCCCCACAAAGCCCTGGCCCCACTGCCGTTTTTGATCTGGACTCCTGGTGTACCTCTTTCATCACAAGGGCTTTGTCAGCTTTGTGAATCAGCACTTGATGAGGCTTCCATCTCCTTTTCCTCTGCTTAGGGCTCAGCAGGGAAGTCAGAAAAGGCTGCTGCCCCCCAGACTTGGTGCACTCCCTCCCCTGCTTTCCTCATCAAGAGCTGGGGGAAGGGGCTAGCCTTCTCCCAGGAACTCAACTCTCTTCCCTTCAGCACAAAAGGTCCTCTGGGAAGCAGGACCACTCCAGCTGTGAAGGTCAGCCCCTGTGGTGCCACAAGTACCTTCCCCAAGGCTGCTCAGGAGGAAAAGGCCAGGCACGGTGGCACAGAATGGGTTAAAAGGTTCCATTTATTGGAGGTGTCAACTGCAAACACTACTGCCTATCTATCCTAGAAGTGGATTACATGCACTGCAGTCTCCAAGAGAGAGGGGAAGCCATCCCTCCCTCCCTCCCCCACCCAGATGTATTCTTCCCTGGTCCTAGGGTGACAGGAAGGAACAGCTGTGTCCCTCTCCTTCCCTCTCACCTACCTTCCCATAGGTTTCCTCAAAAGCTGGATTGCCTTTCAGAAACTCCTGTAGCCCCAAGCCCAACCCACCCACCCCCAAGAAGTAGCCAGGTTGGAGGGAGAAAGAAGAGCAATGGGGGTTGGCTACAGGCTTGATGGTATTTATTCTTCACCTTGATTGCCCTGGCCTCAACTGAGAGTGGGGTTTGATGCTGGGGGAGATTTCCTCTTGGTTACCTTCCTGGTTTGTAAGGGCTTGGCTGGAACTTTCTTGGCCTGGACCGTGTTCTTCTCTCTCTTCCTAGCCAATGAAGACTCAGCATCCTCACTGGAGGGGTCCTCCTGTCCCCGGCCATTGTAACTATCCTCACTCTCCAGCTCTTCCCGGCTTTCTGGGCTGGACTCAGACATCCTGGCCAACTCCCTTGGATTTAATGACCGGCTCAAGTCTGGAGGTGAAGATTCCAATTTAACCGGGCTTTTCTTCTTAGTCAACTTGCCCTTCTTGGCTTTTTTCCTCAGTTTTGCTTTCTCATCCATCTCCTCCTCTTTCTCTTTCTCTTTTTCCTTTTTCTTTTTCACTTTCTTGATCACTTTGTTGCCCTGGCTCTTTCCTGTGGGGCTGTCAGAGCGCCAGATGGTGATGGGCGCTGAGTCAGGGGTACCAGTGACTGTGATGACGGGTGGGTCAGTGGGTGTGGCGGTGGGCCCCACCTGGGTAAGGACAGGCGGCTTGTTTTCCTCCTCCTCCTCCTCCTCCTCCTCTTCCTCCTCTTCCTCATCATCTGCCCCACATTTATGGTGAATGGGGTGGTGGATCACTGCCACGGAGATGGGCCTGTAGCTTTTGCACCTGAGAGGAGGGGAGTGGGAAGAGAAGGTTGACACGGAAGAGGTACCCACAGAGGCCCCTTCTACATCAGCTTATTGGCACTCACCAGCCATACCAGAATCGCTCCACACATGCTTCCTCCGGGATGAGCTCCAAGCAGGTGGATGGGATGATGTTAAAGCAGGTCGGGGTTACATCTCGGGAGCAGGTTGGGCTTGCATCTCGGGAGCTGCTGCTATTTGCCTTCTCTGAGCATTCCTTCAGCCTGCCACACATGGGACTCTCATCCCAGCTCCCACGCCTCCATGACTCCCTAGGGACCCAGAGTGAGCAGCCCACCCCGGCTACCAAAAGACCTCCATTAGGTTTGCCAAGCTGGGGCTTGGCTGGCAGTACCAGGTTAATGCTGAAGAGGGAAACCAAAGGTTGAAAGGCGGAACCACAATGAAAGTTTGGACCTGGCTCTCCCACAGGCCCCCCAAGGAGGGGGCCCTCACCTAGAATCACAGTCGCAGTGGCTGGCAGAGTGCAGGTGTAGGCTGTGATGGCCACAGTCAGGGGTGAAGGGGTAGATGATGTGCCCATTACACTGCTTGTGTTTCCAGCAGCACCTGTCAGTCTCCTTGCAGTCACCTGAGGGGGGAGGGGTCCAGGTCACTTGAGGCAGCAGCAGCATAGCTCAATCCTTTTTTTTTTTTTTTTGAGACAGAGCCTCAAGCTGTAGCCCTGGATAGAATGCCATGGCGTCACAGCTCACAGCAACCTCAAACTCCTGGGCTTAAGCAATTCTCTTGCCTCAGCCTCCCAAGTAGCTGGGACTACAAGCGCCCACCACAACACCCAGCTATTTTTTTCTGGTTGTAGTTGTCATTGTTTGGCAGGCCCAGGCTGGATTTGAACCCGCCAGCTCTGATGTATGTGGCTGGCACCTTAG